CTGTGGTTTTTTTCCAGTTCAATCATCAAAAGAAATCAGATGAGCAATTAGTATATTTGTTATTTACAGTGGTGTACATGTATACACTGAATTCTATATTTACTAATAACACACCCCTCATTGATTTAGCTAATTTGCAGTATCTTTGTTTATTATTATGAACTGCGAAACTACAGTTAATTACAGATGGGGGAGAACTATAAGATTTGTAAAATTATTAAAATGAAAAGATACTTTTGTTTGATTTAAAACGTAAACCATGGAAATTAATATGCCTTCTTTTAAGATATCTTTTCCCAATAGTTTAATGCATAGAAGCACTAAATACTTTCATTTTATCGAAAAAATATTCTTTTTCTGGTTTTAATTAAAAAATAATCATGCAACGAAGCAAACCCGGATTTTAAAATTTAGTTTTGATTGATATTCAAAATCATATGTTTCTACAGCATTTAAAATAATACCTAAAAATATTACATTTTCTCATTCAAACAGTTTGTCATTTAAATAAAAAAAAAAAAAAAAAAAAAAAATTGTACTTAAAACGCTTCAGTCATTGAAAATCAGTGTCAATGTAAAATATGTGCAGTTTTTATCCTTGAAAATTATTTAAGGGAAATTTAATTAAATTTTTATTTCATAAATTTTATCTTTAATTAAAAATTTACAAGAAAAATTAGTCGCTTCAAAGTTGCTAGGCAAAGAATTCGGATGACAAAGAATCACCGCAAAATAGAATCTCGCTCAGAAATATAAATTTTAATTTTGCTACAGATTTCTGGAGCGCACAAATTAAGATATTCTGAAAATTAAGAAACACCGAAGAAAAACACTAAAATTGTCTTAAGATGTTGGTCACTGTAAGTTTCAATAAGTAACTACAAATTTTTCGAATAAAATGTATATGAAAAATTAAATAATACTTTCAAAGTGCTAATAAGAAATAACTAAATCTAAAAGTAAATGTAAGCAACCTAATTTAAAGCTACCACTCAAAATTCCATATTTTTTAATCTTGTGTGGATGTGGTGAACTTGTGTAATGATCAAAACCTCTATGTTTATTGAGCTCAAAAACACTGTTCGTCTTAGGGAGATAGTCACCAAGAAGGTTCACTGCAAATATACAAAAAAAAGGTGCATGAAGATTTTCGTGATTTTCCTAAAGTATACTGTGCATATGAACCAGTTCCTGAGAATGTACTCCACAGAGGAATCCCGCCCCTTAAGCAGATAGCTGTAGTGTGCTTTGGCATAATCTAATAAATTCAAACCCTACTGAAATACTATATAGCTGACTTTTATCATAACAAATCAACATTCAAGGAACTGACAGCCCACCAGTAGCCGAGCGGTAAAAGATGCTGAACACTGGTAGTTCAGTCTGAGGTTCGAATCCTGCGAACGGGCTGGCTGCATGGGCGTTTTCGTGGTTTTCCCCATGTGTAACGTGTATACGAGCCAGTTTCCCTTAGAAAGTCCTGCCCGAAGGCATCCCTCCCTTTAGGCATATAGCCCTCGTGTGCTTTGCCATAATTTAATAATCCATAATCCATCCAAGGAACTGACTGCACACTGTGCATGAAAATTGTTGAGATATTTCTAATCGCATTCTTACTGGTTAAAATGAAGTATAGCTTTCTGTCACGTCCGATAAATACATTAGCTTTCGGTCAGGTCCGAATTATTCTGAAACTTAATCGCATTCTTTATGTTATTTTTGATAATTAAAATAATAATAATAAAATAAATAAATAAATAAAAAAAAGCTGCGTGAAGATTTTCGTGATTTTCCTAAAGTATAATGTGCATATGAACCAGTTCCTGAGAATATACTCCACAAAGGAATCCCACCCCTAAAGCAGATAGCCATAGTGTGCTTTGGCATAATCTAATAAATCCACACTCTACTGAAATATTATATAGCTGACTTTCGTCATAACTAACAAATCGACATTCAAGGAACTGACTGCATGCTGTGCATGCAAATTTAAATAACACTTTAAGAACAAACTGAAACAAAATAAGAAATAATTTTCACTATAAGATTATTAGATTAACAAACGTGAAGAAAATAATCTCATAATTAAATTAGCAATTTTTTTTATAGATAAGGTCATGCAGTTACTTACCTTCCTTTTTCTAATCCTTTTAGATTAAATTTTTCATGAAAAATTCCAGTAAAAACTTTATAAAAAATGATTTATTAATGACCTTTGTTAGTTAGCTATGTCGGTTTAAAATTCTATTAAGTGCTGTAAGTTGCATTAATTTTCTATGCTTAAGTTTCCTTCTTACTTTATCAGCAAAACTTTATTAGTTAACAAAAAATATGAAAGTAAAAATTGCGCTCACAAATCATTATGGGAGTATCCATTTACAATTATTAAAGCTTGAAAAAAGCGTGTCTGCGACGTTATCGTCATGCAATGATTTGTAGATACTTTATTTTGTACCACAATATTTTCGACGGCGATGTTTTTAAACTGCAAAGTTTTTTAACCGCTTTATTTTCAACGATGATATTTTGTACCACGATGTTTTCTCTTTGCGATGTTTTCACCTTGCATTGTTTTCTCCACAACGTTTTCGTCCGCGATGTTTTCGGCTATAACCTTATTATAGGTGTATCATGCTGTTTCAATTTTTTTAAGCATCAGTATTGCATTTTGTTCAAAAGATGGGACTGTTGTTGCTTATTACATAATCATACATTTGCAATAAAAAAATATGCAGTTTTTGAAGCAATTTTGTCAGAGGGTTAAATTCTGAACTTAAGGATGAAAGAAATTTTAAATAAGTGGTATGACTAAGTTTACCTTAATTAAGTTCTTTAAACGAAAAGTAAAGTATACAAACACACTGATCTAGCTAATTAATGCTGTTTAAATACAGCTCTTCATGAGCAGATTCAAAAAGTCTTGCTACTTAAGTAGTATAATAAAGGATTATTTGTAAGTTTTGGATTTAAAAAAAAATCAGTTATAGCATAAATGAAAAAAACAGGACATTATATGGACAAAATGAAAATATTTTCAAGCAATTAAACTTTACTCTTTCAGTTATTCTACGCTCAGCTTTTCTTTAAATGTTAAAATGTCATTTTCAATATTGTATAAAAAATGAGCATTAAAATAATTCCTGTCCCTCAAATTTGAGCTTTCTTTCAACAATGTGAAATGCGAAAATATGAAATCAATTGAAACCTTGCTTTGCAAAAACAAGAAATCAAAAACAACTTGGAAAACATTGCTGACATGATTGGTAATTGCTTTGTCACTGTTCGTCCATTGTTCTTGCTATCTAGAGAGTAACTAAGCATGCTAGCTGAGTTTACATGATAACCTGCTACTGATCTAAACTAGTACTCCTCCTTTCAGGATTACATTTTTCTCTGGTAAGAGCTATTCAGTCACAAAGAAGTTTGTTGATTAATTTTTAGTGCAAGAGCCATCTTTAAATATCACCTCTTTATGAGAACAGCTAAATTGAAATTTATAAATACATCTTGTCTAATTTTAACATATAAAGATTTTGGTTCGGTCCAGTGAATTTGCAATGACTTTATTAGCATTCAGATTTATTAGATTCGTTTTAAGTTATTATCAACAATTACGAACATTTAAATAAATTTTTATTTGATCTTGTAAATCTAATGACTTTAGTATTAGTAATAAATAAACTTTTGGTTAAATATTTCCAAACTTTATTTTATTTCAGTTTGTTCTGGACAGCACAGTTTTTACTGCAAAATGATGTAGAGAAATAAAATTTAACTGATTAAAATACTTTTACATATTATGGGGTCCTGAGCTCGCTAAACAATCTCCATGATAAAAAAAGGTTGCAACTGAAAAATTTTAAGAAACCCTGCTTTAGGCAAATCTTAATACAAGATTATCATAACATATTTAGCAACATTTACTTAGATAGATATATGAGCTTTACTTCTTTTAGAATTAGGTCTTTTAGAACCTTTCAGAATTTTTTAGTTTATTAGATACTCTTTTAACTCTTTTAACTTTAGGAATAAACTTTTCAATAATGCTGTAGAAGGAATGCAACTTTTCTTAATTGTTCTGCAGAGGTTTCAATTTTTAAACTGCTTTACATGTGTGACTGTTTATGGCACAGAAGGAAAAACAATTTTGAAACATTAAATTATTAGTAAATTTTTACTAAACAATACTTTTTTCAGAGATGTATCACAAAAATATCTTAAAGTTATTAGTTGATCATGCAATACAGTTTTAATTACCAGTAAAAATAGTAATCTGAACTTAATAAACTTGTTTGAACAGATCCTGAGGATTTTGGGAGAAGCTTGGAAATGAGACACAAGTATAGTGAATTGACATTCTCGTCCTAGTACTATATAATTTAGTCTTTGAACCTTCTAATATAATTTTGTAGTTGGTCTTTTCACATTCGTTTGTCCTACTTTTACTCAGTCTCTCATATTGTAGACTTTTTTTTCAAATTGCTCCACTTCTTGAAGCTTGAATAATGAAAACCTGTTTTATGAGAGTCTTATTCTTTGTTATGACTACTAAATGTAAAAGAATTATGGGCATTGACTTGACACAATTGGCTTACAATAATCATTAGCTTATAAAAAGCATGAAGCAGCAATGCATATCAAAATGCAATTTAATGCATAAATAAAATACTTGAAAATAAATTTCTCTCTACTAAAATAAATAATACCCAATAAAAATGATTTAACTGAAACATTTCTAATATAAAAATCGATTGCTTTAGTAAACTGATTTTTCAAACCCACTTTTGGTTGTATTCAAGTTTAATTGAGGCTCTATTTATTCTAATAATAAAAGCTTTAGCATGCAAATGTCTCACCATAGTTAAAAAATTGTCTCACCTTAGTTGTCTTAATGATGTTATAAAGATTTAAGGTTTGTTGAAATTTGTTTTTGAATTATTACCAGTACAATATATTAAAAAAAGCAAGCAAATTAAATAGAAATGAATTTATATAATTACCATGGCCAAAGTAGCCTTAAAATGTTTTTTAGTTTCTTTATACACCATAGGTCTCCCGAGATGAATATATTTGTCATTAGAATTAATGTACTCTTCCCATGATATCTGTCGCACTTTAGGTGGTGGTAAAGACTTTCTTCTTTGGATCTAATAAAATATAAAGTTTGCCAAATTTTAAAATACATTTAAAAATTAAGACTTTTGAATGAATTTTAATAAAAGTAATTAATTTTTGCTTTCACTAAACATAAGTTTAAAAAATAATAAATACAATAAAGAGGACCATGATAAAAGAGTGAGAATGACAATGTGTTTGTTTTTGATTTTTTAACAACATGGAGTAATGTGGTCACTAAAAGTATCAGGCCATGAAATTTTTTTCACATATTTATATCAGAAAGTTGTATAGGTACCTTATGTGCCCCCCCCAAAAAAAAAATTCAAGAAAACAGCTTTGATTACAATCCATATTTTGCTGATATTCTAATATCATAAAAAGTACCACTATATAGCCCACCCCCTCTTATTTACAATTAAAAATGTTCAAATTCCTTTGCAAGTCTTTAAAAGCCATACAGTACAAAGTTTGAGATGTATAAGATTCTGGATTTCAGATCATCAGTTTAATTCTATAGGTAGAGGTGGGCGGAACACCAGAATTTCACCATTGATCATACAGGTATAGTCCTCTTGCAGTAACTGTGGAGTTCTGTCACAATTTTGAGAAGACAACCCCATGGAAAGGACTGAAAATCTCCTATTCTGTTTCACCTACCATCAACTTTTCAAGACTTTCAACTTACCCTGTATTTCAAGTGCCTTCTTGCCAAACAGATATTATACACTTAGAAACATCCATCAGGCTTGCCACTCAAACAGGAGAATGAAATTCCCTGACTTTTCCAGGTTTTCCAGGTGTGTTTCAAGAAAATTCTAGTCTATCCGCATAATGTATGTTGGCTGTGCTAAGAGGTAAATTATTATTTGGTATTACTTGTATGTGTAGCAATAGCAATTCACTTAATTATTCAATAAATCCCAGAGGACATTTATTCTTAATTATTCTTGGTATACTTTGTTTGATAATTTTGTTTAGTTTTCCACTTAACTTAAAAATTTAAAATATATACATTGGATAACAAATGTAGGTTTTATTTAATTATTACTCATGATCATCACCAGTTCAACACGAGGCTAATCCGGTCCTTATAAATCACAACGCATGCTAAATAGTTAGGCTAGATTTTAGGTAAATTTAATTTGCGTGAGGTATGTTCTTAAAGGCACCTTAAGACTTGAAAACACAAATATAATTATAATAGTTTGTTGTTTTCTCCACTGAAGATTGAGATTAGAATCTTCCCAATCTGGAATAAAATAAGGCTTTTTTTGCAGACATTCTGCAGCTAAACGAAAGAAAGAAATCTATTTTAATAAATTGAGGTATTTTATATTTATTTCGCAGCATACATAAGGAAAAAATATGTGCATTAAATTTCGTGATGGTATGTCATCATACTGCTATAATTAATTTCAGGATTATGCCAGAGAAAATTTCCTGAAATTTGGAAATATTATTTACTAATAATAAATAAATTTAGAGGGAAGAAGCAACATTAAATTATATGAATAACATAAAAATAAAGATAATTACTTAAAAATTGAATTAGAATAATCAACGATATTTTAGCAAATATAGTTACATGGCTAGCCTAGATGACTGATTACTATTTTTTTATTTTACTGCAAAATGTCAAGGTATTTATAAAAAAAAAAAAAAAGGTTTAAAAAGATTTTGCGGTAAAATTCTAGTATACGGTAAGGCTTTGGCACGATTTTGAAAATTGTTGCCAAGACCAAAATGACCCATTTACTGCGTATCATGATGTCGCCAAATCCCATTATTATTCTAACCAAAGAACGTCTATGTAAAGAAGAAAAGGTTCCATACAAGTAAAATGCTATTATGCTGCTAGAATGCGGAGGGAAAATTTGCCAAGGGATTTGGCGATGGAACCTGGCGGCCAGAATTTTCCTCTCCAGGAAATTGAGAAACACGTGTTAAGAAGAAACGCTCTTTGAAAAAAAGAAAACTACGAAAATCCGTTTTTAAATTATTGCGAAAAATCCAAGAAGAAACGTTTTATCAAAGGACATTTTTTCTTGAATTTTCGCAATAATTTTAAAAACGGATTTTCGTAGTTTTTTTTTTCCCTGAAAATAACTAATCCATGAATTAATTTACTTGAGCCAAAAAATATTTTCTTTTCCTTTAGAGTTTAACCACTTGCGCTAAGACTAAACTTCACGGTTGCGGTGCCGTGCACTAAGCGGTAAAGTGTCTCATTTACGCCGCTCCGCATCTGCGAGTGCAATCCAGAGCTGTAACTCGAGAAACAAACAATGTTGTGGTTAGGCGACGTGTGCACCAGGTTATTTTAATTTTTGCGATAAATGCTTATTGCAAAAATGCGTGCGACGTGAGCGATGCGATGTGAACGTGAGCGACGTGGTATTCACGTCGCTCGCAGTTTGAGACAAAAGCATCTTGACGTGCGTGGCACGTCTTTTTAGCGCAAGTGGTTAAAGAAATTTTTAACGATATTCATTTTATGAACTCTTGATAACGTGACCTTCGAACTTCGACACTGGTTTCGAGCTTTGGCGACAGATATATCAGACATGCACAGGTGTTTCCCTCTATGATGGAATGGAGCCACGTCTGTTGCAGAGAGGTTCTTTACAATACATATTCTTTGATTCTAACCTCCATGGTACCGTATTTATGGTACCGCATGGTACCGTAGATTTAACCAATTTTGTTTTATACGAGAACATGTAAATTCTTTAGTTCATGCATTGCACATGCGTTTCTCTCGATTCTTGAGGTTGCTGGAAACCAAAAGTTGTGGGAAACTTGCTTTGCCATTCTAAAAGACAATCAAATTGGAGCGGCGTAAATTGGCTCTATGCCAGCTGCCCGAATGAGGCTCACGTGATACACAATTCGCCAAAAAAGTTACCTCTTCCGACGTCGGCACAAAAATCGCTTTTTTTGGCGGGATCATTGTATGAACTTCCCTGACTTTTCCCTGAATATTTTGGTCAATTTTCGAATTCCCTGACTTTTCCCGGTTCTCCCGGTTTTCCAGGTAGCGTGGCAACCCTGATCCATCCCTTTCCTGGGATTCAAACCTAGATCTATCAGTATGGCAGACAGTATTGCTAACCACTATACCAGTAGTAAGATTGCATACAAACATGACAACATTGGAGTATCATTTATTGTTTAGGGCAGGCAGGAAAATGTTAAATCACCAGAGGCCTGACCCCAAAGCAGGTGCAAATGGTGTAGTTGCACCGGGTGTCAGAATTAGATTGACTTTGTTTACTTGTCACAACCACTGAAGGGCAAAAGCATGATCCTTGCCTACATCAATCAATGCATTGTTAATTGCCATGTTGTCACTCCCTAGCTAGTAAGTGTTTGAAATTGCAGAATCTCAACATTAACAATAACATTGCAGAATCTCAGTTTGGAGAAAAATTATATTAACAGCAGACCTGTTTCCTTTTGTTATCATATTCTCTATTCCTAGCATGGAAAATGGGGGTTGATTATTTTATTTTTTGGACGTCTGAATTTCGGACTTTTACCACCATTTTGGACGTTTTACTTTAATGGTAGGTTGCATGCCATTTTGGACAAATCAGTCTCTTACAGTGAAATAATGAAAGCTGCTGTTGCAATATGACAAAAGGTGTTTTTCATCAGTAAATTATAGTAAGAAAAATCATACACAAAATTTGAAGGTAAGAAAATCTGCAGTTCACTAATTTGAATTAGATAATAAGATTAAAATAGAATTGCAGTAAATAAATTAATTTAGGAAGAAAAACTTAATAGGAAATTATTTGAGTGACTCAATGGATCGAGCCAAGATAGAAACATTTTTAATTTCTTAATCATCTAATTAAAAGAATAGAAATATGAATCCAACAAGTTATGGTGCACAGCACTGTTCCTCCCACTCCAAAAGCAGCATGCTACACCTTTACAAACTGAGAAATAAAATACCAACATTTGTTCCTGGCACTGTTGTATTTTGCTGAACTATGATAAATTGTAAAGAACCTACTTATACAAACTTCTTACTTTACATGAGATATTTGAATTACATGAAATGTTTTCAATGTAGTTTCTTACTATATGAGAGATAAAAGGCGTTTTATTACATATTAAATAAAGGTGGTCTCAACTAATGACCAAAAGCAGCTGTTGTCTACTTCTTGGTTGACTTTTAAGCATCTAACCTTCACAGAATACCTACCAACAGCCAAATAATACAATACCAGTGAACACCTATATTTCACTCTATGTTCCAAGTCTTGGGATTTACATTTATGAAATATAACTCACCAACAAAATCAACCTTCAGAAAAGTTTACACCTTTACACAACCTTCAGAAAAGTTAGTAATGCATTATAACAATATGCCTGATAAACATTTTCATAAACTGTACTGATATAGACACAGTTTGAGTTCAAAAGGCAATGTTGCTTGTATTTTTATTAGGTAATATTTTAGGTATTAACTTTGTTCAAAACTTTTTAAATAACTATTTTATCTCTAGCTAAAATATTAGATTTAAGTTATTACTAGTAAGTGAATCATTAATATGAGTATATGTGCGTATATCTATATCTATATATATATATACATCCTTTGTCAGAGAAGTTCCACGATAAAGGTTGTAAAAAATAGAAAATTGCATTTACCAAGTAATGAAACTAGCTGCTATCAAAATTGTCCCCTTGGCTATCTATACACAACTGTCAATATTTCTGAAGGTCTTGGAAGCAAGCAGGGAAATTTCCAACTGTGATACTTGCAAGCTCATTTGTCACAGCTTGTTGGATGCCTGCAATAATCTTGATGAAGCTTTCAGTTACCTTTTCACTCATGAAAACAAGAAAAAATTGCAATAATCTTTGACACAAATGTGGGATCACATCTGAATCTTTCCAATAGTTTAGTAGAAATACTTCATCTTCCCTCTTTCTGTTCTTCCCTTAGTGAGTGAGGAATGATTCGTGCATTACGTTTCTGTTTCCCTAAATCTTCATGTAAAATCTTATGCCTACCACCTAGTAAGTTTGTGTGGAAACATGGCTACGGTCATGTCAAGAATACTGACCAGGTATTATAAAAACCATATTTGTTCCTTTTTTTAGTACTGCAAACTCAGTATATACAGGGTGCCCACTGAATTCCGGTACCACCCGGAATTTTATTCATAAAATTGGTGTCTAGGTATTAGTAAAGTGGCTATGTGCTACTAAATGAGATAGCTTACCATGCCAACTGGTTGAAAACTTATGAAATAATAAGTATTTATGATCTAATGGTATCAAAATTTACCAAAAAAAAAACATTTATTCGTTTACCTTATTAAAAAAAATTTCTTTCAATGTAAGTTGTTTAAGTTGCTTTGTTTTTTTTTGTGCTAATACTTTCTCTTTAATTCTATAAACAGACATAATTTCATGTTCAGTGACAAAGAGCAATTATACAATAACAGACATATGAGCTTTAAACTTGTGTAAGTAAAAGCACATGATAAACCCCAAGGCAATGAACCAGCTGATCATCTGGCCAAAGTGGCAGCGTACGACATTGATGCACGACAGTGGCATATCTCAGCATCCTCATCCCACCTTAAACATCATCTCCACTGCGAAGCATTAATAATCTGGCTGCAAGAATGAAATAAGTGACATGGGGGTTAAACTCACTCCTTCATTCCAAACGTCTGCAACGAAGGCCAAATTCCCATTCCACAGCTCACGCATTTTATCACCAGCGATGGCCCTTTTCTAACTTATTTCAAAAAGCATGGCATCATCAATACTGATAATGTCTCTGTTGGCAGCCCACAGGATAGGCTGAGCATTACATGTACTCTAGTTCTCTTACCATATCTTTGCATCTATGGCCACCTCCACAAAACCCAAAAGACATAACAGCATATAAACATATCCTGGTTACCAATTGGGCAGCAATCACTAAAATCTGCAAAGTTCTGAATTCACTATAAGGTCTATGACAAGACATGAATTAGGCATTCCTCTGCATAAAACTTGCATGTCTCATCTAGTTACCATCTTCCCAGTGCACAGTATCACACTGTGTATGACTCAGCGAAGCACAACTGATGAACTCTGACAAATATGTTTAATGCAGAAATTGTATTGAATTATCAGCAAACTTGGGTCTTCCATATGCAGTTGCTCAGTATTGTTTATGTATCTTACGTGCATCGTATATGTATTTTATAACTCATGTTTTATATGTACTTTATATGTATTTTACTTACATTTATATTTACATTCCATGTTTTATGTTGCTTATTTCATATTCTGGTATTCTTACCTATATATATATATGTTCTGGTATTCTTACATATTATATGTTTCTTGTATTTTGTCTCGAAAAAAGTTCCTATTATATCACCATCTAACTATGTATGGCCATATGACTTATTTAAATTCTTCAATAAACTCTGGCTAGTGTAGGATGAGGGACATAGACCTGCTTACCGCTGTTAGTAGCTAGGTGCTTCTATCTTTCGTCACCTGCTAAAGTAAATATTATTCTCATGTAGCCATAACTATACGCACAACTTATGGTGAAGTGTTTACCAAACTGGACAGATGGATATTAAATAAAGTCAGTAAAGGAAGTACTTCCTTTTTCCACCCTTTAAACATACAGAACACTGCAATGTCTTTGGTCAGATAATAATAGTAATGATGACATTAAACCATACCAAATAATCATAAAAATTAGATAATCAGAATTTAGCATTTCCTCTCAAATACCTTTTATGGATGCACTAAAAATACCTAAATGAGACAGATGCGAAAAATGTATTACCTCAGTATTGTCAAGCAAAAAGTTCCCACTTTTTGTGAAACTTTCAAATATAGCTTTATTTTTGTGCAGATCTTCATCTGTTAAATGTTCCCGTCTGAAATACATAGAATCAAAGTTAATGATTTAATCAAATTGAATTTCACATAATAAAAGGTTATTAGTTTATTAAAAAAATGACTAACACACAGTTCTAGAAAAAAAAATTCAGAAAAGTAATAAAATTTAATACCCAACCCCATATTTTATACTGTTGAACAACAGTAATTTTTGAATCTGTGCCAATTATGAATGAATCAATTAGAAAATCTAAATCATATGTTACATGTTATAATACATTATATTACATGCACTTAGGTAAGGCATGAAGGGATATATAAATAAAGCACAGTGAACTTAAATTCCCAAAACCATTTTATACTCTCATGAGATACCTCTACATTAAGCAAGATTCCAGAAAAGTCATGTCACATGCATGAAACTCGCAACGCTTGAATTTAGCTCTTAGGCAACTCTCTCTATCAGAGAAAATATGAAATGATATCATGTGGCATAGCATATTTTTTTCTAATGCAGGGAAAATTAACGATTCCCCCCCCCAATGGATGTAATGTTACATTTTGAGTAGATCCGTGTCATGCTACAAGAACCTTACTTTAACTGATTATGTATCCTCTAGCTCCATTGTTCTTTTATCAACAAGGTCAGTTTTTTCAAATTATTCAAAGTGTCCAAAATGACACATTGACCAGTTCCACAGATTCAAAAAGTGTTTTACTGGCGCATTTAGAAATCTCAAGAAAATTAGAACAGTCATTTGTACTCCAATTGATGTTACTTTCAAGGTGACTAAAAAAATTTTTTTTTTTTTTTTTTTTTTTTTTTTTTTTTTACATCTGAAACAGAACTGTAAAACAATTTTCTATGAGTTTTTTGTAAAATTTATACATACGAGGTAGGATTCAAAAGTTTCCAGACTGATTCTATAACATAAAAAAAAAAAAAAAAATTATGAATTAAATTGCAGAAACACATCCTCTTTTGAAATAAGACCCCTGTGCAACAACATACTTTTGCCAGCATGCCACTGAAGCACGTCTGGAATCCATTTTTGACAGTGTCCTTTTAATTCAGCCTGCGATGCACATTTAATTTCATCTGAAGATTGAAATCGATGACTATGCAAGAGTCTTGGCATTCCAGGAAATAGGAAGAAATCACAAGATGCGAGATCAGGTGAGTAAGGAGGATGAAGCAAAACAGTTTTCGGTTTTACAAGAAGAAACTCATTGACGAGTACAATTGGTGAGCAAGAGTGTTGTCATGCAACAGCATCCATGACTTCTCATCACAAATGTTTGGTCTCTTCTTCTGCATCGATTCACGCAAATGACGCAGGATTTCGACATAGAGTGCTTTGTTCACGGTGCATCCTTGAGGGATAAATTCCAGATGCACAGTGCCCTGGATATCGAAGAATACCTCTAGCATGACCTTTCCTTTAGAGCGATCATGGCGGAATTTCTGCTTCTGTTGAGATTTCCACGTTGCCAAAGCTCTCTTGGTTTGCGGGTCATACCAAAAGCACCATTTCTCATCTCCAGTAACAATTCTGCCAAGTAGAGAAGGATCTATCTTTGTCAACAGCTGAAGTCTCTCGCCATTTCCATTCAAATTTCCTCTTGGTCTACGTTTAACATGTGGGGAACGATATGTTGACACACCCTATGCATGTTAAGATCCTTAATCATTATTCACTGCTATGTGGCCTCTGATGTCCAAACTGATTCTGCTATTTGGCAAATTGTTTGCTGTCTGTTCGCATAAATTGCTGTGGACACCTTTTTGATGTTTTTGATGTAAGCCATTGTATTTCTTATATTTTACACACACACACACACACATATATATACTTTGTAACATGCAAACATGTTGGGAAAAGGGGCAAATCTAGTGAGACTTTTTGTTAGTTTAAATTTGTACAGAAATTGGAGTTCGGTTAATATCATTTGAAGTCTCAATGGATTTGTCAGACAAAACATGTTTGCATATCTAGTTAATCAACTTGGTTGGAGGCTTCAAATACTATTCCCTTGACAAATTCTGTTTAAAACTTTGAACAGAGAGGATTAACAAAAAAATTTTTGTACACATTTTCTGTAGTTTGGATAGGTTTTTTTAAATTTACTTTATCACTCATATTACATGGTGTTTCTGAAATTCTGATAGGAAACAACAAATGTTTTTAATGACTTTTACTAGGTTTCAAACTTTCTTTCATCTTTAAATATTATATATATATATATATATATATATATATGTAATAATAGCACAAATTTGGAAGCACTGAATGCAAGACTACTCAGATGTAGATACATAGAAATGCTGACTGCGAAGGATGCTTAAAACGTCCATCCATTCTGAAGAAGAAGCAGTCGAGCCGGATTAAATTCCATATTTATTTAAATTCTCATTTGTGACCACAATTCACTTGGCACTGCAATTGTGCCGATTTCCAGAACATTTACAATTTGATACTATTGTGATAGAAGCAAACATAGAAGTTTGCTGCAGCATTTTAATAGGATGAAAAGCGTAAGCGAAAGTGAAAGAATGTCCCAGTAGTAATGCAGAGGAAGAAGGAAGGGAGTCTTGGTTTGCAATTATTATGATTGGGCAAGAGATATCTGCATTAAGCATTACATAAGATAGTATGTTAATGTGAATGACGCAGTTTAAACTCATGGCACTATTTTTAGATAGAGAGAGGAAGTCCCCAAATTAACTAAATATAAAAAAGGTTATAGCCGATTAAATTTTAGAAGTTTGCTTTCATATTTTTTATTTTTCAAAATAAGAAAATTAGAAATGTAACAATAAGAGTAAAAACCATAATTTTAGCAATGATGTTAAAATATAAGTTATAATAATGAAAATTAATTATGTTTTGAACATTCTGAAATTTATTGTGATTATTCAAACTAAGTACTGTGTTTGCAAAATTTTTACAACTGTGATTTTCAATACAAAGCTTTGCAAATCCTTCCCTGAAAAAATATAATTATGTGGACTCTAAAATGCAAAGACTTTTGGACTGAAAATATTTAATAGGACTCTAAAATATTATCCAAGTTTATATTTTGCAATTATGTAAGTAATTATTTGATCAAAATTTGAGGATATGTATTTTTCAAATTATTTCTTTTTATTTGCTAATGCTTTCATGCTTTCTCTCTAAAAAAACTTTTTCTCTCACCCAGCGCTTTTCTTCTTAAAAGGAGAAGAGGAATATGTAAAATATAAAATCTAGCTTTCAAATAATAAATTAATAGCACTTTAACTTCCATTTCATTCTAAAAATAACAGCAATAAATTTGTCTCCCTGCAGTTCTGATGTGCACTTATCAATGAAATCTGAACCCAAAATCCTGCACATTAAAGTGCCATGTGATCTGAAATGGAATTTTGTATGAAAAGGTTAATTACGTCACAACTCCCAATCTTGCTTTGTGTCACTGCTTTGCATTGCCACTAGCCTCGTAGAGTTAATTTTTCTAAATTAAGATGTAAGCTGTTAAAAAATTGGGAGGTGCATAGTGCACCCACAGTGATAATGTGAATTATCCAAGAATAAAATTATGTGTAAAATTTACCGTTATGTGTGTTCTTCAAGTGTCACCTTTCTAACTACACAGCAAAGTCTTTAAGTTATGATGAAGTCCTCTCCAACGCCAATCTGTTCCAACTCTCACCAAGTCATTTTATTACAGTAATAACACAGTGTTATTATGATATCGCAGTTTTTTACATCTAATGGAACAGTTTTATCCTTCAGATATATATATATATATTTAATAAACTGTGATAATCTGATCTCCTCCTGTGCTACAACACTTTGCTGCTGCTTAACACATCCTTCCTTTGTTAGAATAGTTATGATGCAGAAAGTCTAAAATTAATCATACTTAATTTAAATCACTATTGAATATGTAATTTGGAGAATTTCATCTAAAGTAAAAATGATCTGTGGTGAAAATTGAAATAAAGATATGGAATAGTAAAAAGTGAAATCCTTCTGTGTCATCATTTCTGCTGTATTCCACTCAGCCAAACAATGCCCGGACTCTGATGGCAAGCTTTGTCACTCACGTGCTCCACTGCCAAAATATCGACTGCAATATATATATGTATTGGGTTTTAAAGAAAGTTTCCCTGTCACCGCAAATATCATCTGCACAAAGAGTTCATGTTGGTGTGTTTAATCATATTTTGGTCAAACGATTTTTGGCATTTGAAAGAGGCTTGCTTTAGACATTGTGTTGTGAAATTTGTAAAAATATATCGTTACCATTAGGTACAAGGCGTCTGAAATGGAACTATCACATTGCCAGATTAGACCATCATTTACTTCCATTTCAGTTGCAAAAGGTCAGCTACAGAATGTTACCAAATCATGTGTGCAGCTTTAGGTACTAATGTTGTATCATATGACACTGTGAAGGTTTAGTACCAAAAGTACAAAAACAAGGACTATGATATTCAAGAAGCAGAGTGCTCTGGCTGGCCTACTTATGTTGATGAGGTCCGCCAGTAAGAACTTATAGAAGAAGATCAGCATGCAAGCACTCAAGAGTTTGCTGAAGATTTACACATTAGTGCCACATCCATTAGTCGTGCTATGCATCACATGAACTTGACGTACAAGTTTAGTCGTTGGGTGCCTTATGAGCTGACTCAAGAAGATTTGTCTGGGCCTACACTAATCTGTTTGAATATCAACACAAGGATAAAATTCTGGACAGGATTGTCACTTGCGATGAAAAGTGGATATACTTCAACAATGCAGGCCGAAGATGGGGTTGGTCTGCGCCCAGTGAGCCTGTCAGCAGCATCACAAAGTGCAATTTGACTGGCAAAAAGATCATGCTTTGTATCTGGTGTGATTGCCTTGGTATCATCCACAAAGAGTATCTGGAAAAAGGTAAAATCCTTGTCAGTAAGGTGGACAACGTCTTTGTGTTAGTCTATGTTGATGCTGCTATCAAGGAAAAATGCTGTACTGAGTTCCGGCACAAAAAGGCAATGTTCCATCAAGAT